ATATATATATATATATATATATATATATATATATATATATATATATATATATAAAAAAAGGAAGAATAAACCATAATTTAAAAAGTCTAAGGCCTGACCAGCCCTGCAAGTTTGACTTGAATGTGGACACTCCTTCACAGTATGAACAGCTGAGGTCAGAGGAATATGTACCATGAACAGAAATTCCTAATAACTCAACACAGCAAAGTACAAAGTAAGTTCTTTTCAAGCAAACAGGGCTGGCACAACAACAGTAGATATGCACTGACAGGCACATTGTAGATATACACTATCATCATCTTTAACTCTGTTGTTCATTTACTGACTGTACAAAAAATGCTTTGGTGAGTTTCCACCATCCATAATGGGAGAGGTGAAAATCTCAGTTGAACATAGTGTTGGCAGCAGTTCTGTCCTCAAACACAGGATTCACAGGGATTCCTCTTCAGAGTCACTGTCTGTGTTCGTCTTAGTCAGGAGCTTCAGCTCCTCACCGTCCTACAGCAAGCACAAACAAAGGCATCTAAATTAATGCAAGGAGGACAAACATCTGCAGACATGAAACTATTTCACATTCCCATCTTAGCGTAAACACTAAGTTTCCATGTTGCTTTCACATCCTGGTGTAGAGCATTCAGGGTCTTGAAAATAAAGAGAGGAAATACTTTAAATTTTAAAACCACAGCTGCTGACCTGCTGCTTGTTTTTCCAAACAAAAAAAAGCAAGCTGAAGTATGCATTCCTCATACAATAGTATCTGGAACAAATAGATATTTATACTCAACATTTGTGGTTCTACATGCTTTTAAACTACCAAACATATAATTGTTAAATAAGGTGTGTGATAGCTTTATTTTCCTACAGATTTCCCTCCTTATGTCAAACAAATTTTATTATACAAAATTGAGTGCCAAGTTTCCTACAGAGAGAAGATATCACATCTGCAGTGCCTTGACAAAGTATTCATACTCCTTGAATTTTTCCAGTTTGCAACATAACCACAAACTACAAAGTATTTTCCTGGGATTTTATGTGCTCGACCAACAGAAAGTAATGTATAATTGTGAAGAGGAAGAAAAATGGTCGTCGGTCCATCCATCCATCCATCATGCTATGAAGTTGGGTCATGGGGGCAGCAACTTGAGTATGGTGGTCCAGACATCTCTTTCCACAGCCACCTCTTCTAGCTCTTCTGGGAGGATCCCAAGGCATTCACAGGCCAGCTGAAAGAAAGAATCTCTCCAGTGTGTCCTTGGTCTACCCATGGGTCTCTTCCCAGTCAGACATGACCGGAGCACCTCCCTAGGGAGGCACCCAGGGGGCATCCTTACCAGATGCCTAAATCATCTCAAGTGGCTCCTCTCAATGTGTTGGAATAGTGGTTCTACTCTGAATCGCTCCCAGATAATTGAACTTTGCATCCTATCTGTAAGGAATCCTGCAGAGAAAACTCATTTTGACCACCTGTATCTTGTTTTTTTCAGTCAATACCCAGAATATGTGGCCATAAGTGAGGGTAGGAATGTAGACTAACTGGTAAACAGAGAGTTCTGCCTTACAGCTCAGTGCCATCTTCACCACGGTGGACCAGTACAGAGTCCACAATATTGTAGATGCTACACCATCCATCTGTCAATCTCCCGCTCTATTGTTCTGGTTGGCAGGCCACAGACTGATGAAGTCTTCCAAACGGAATACGAAACGGTTCTCCCTTAAAGAAACTGATCCAGATTAAATGATTTAACAGTTTGTGTGTGTGTGTGTGTGTGTGTGTGTGTGTGTGTGTGTGTGTGTGTCTTATCTACCTGGACGATTGAGCTTACAAACCTTTTTCTGAACCATTTTGGCCTTGGTGTCCTCAGGCTATTTCTGTGAGTAGCAAGTTGGCCATCTGGCCTAAAACATTTGATTGTTATACACCATGATTGATTGTTTTGGACAAATGGGTCCTTTTGCATGTGTTAAAAGCCTGCTTTTGAGATTCCAACAGGAGGTTGGCTTGAAACACAGCAATGAAGGCTACTTATGGGACAGATCTGGTTGGCAGGCCACAGACTGATGAAGTCTTCCGGATGGAAGATGAAACGTTTCTCCCTTAAACAAACTGGTCCAGATACAATGATTTAACCTTTTCTTGTGTGTCATTTACCTGGTTGATTGAGCCTACAAACCTTTATTTCCCACACTTGTGAACAAAACCCCATTATACTTGAACTCCTCCACTTGAGGCAGAACTTCACTCCCAACCCAGAGAGGACAATCCACCCTTTTCTTGCTGAGAAACATGACCTCAGATTTGGAGGTGCTGATCCTCATCCTAGCCATTTCACACTCTGCTGCCAACGTCTCCAGTGAGAGCTGAAGATCACAGGACAATGACGCTAACAGGACTACATCTTCTGCAAGTAGAGATGGAATCCTGAGGCCACTGAACTGGACTTTGTATGCCAATTTCTGGCCATGAACGTTATGAACAGAATCTGTGACAAAGGGCAGCCCTGGCGGAGTCCAACTCCCAACCTGAAGGGTTCTGACTGGTCACACGATGTTGCAAAGGCATGTCAACAAAGACAGCCCAGTAACTTCCAGAGCCTTGAGGAACTCAGGACAGATCTCCTCCACACCCAGTGCCCTGCTGCCATGCAGCTTTTTTAACTACCTCAGCAACGGCGGTCTCGGTTATGGACAGACCAACCCTTAAGTGCCCCAACTCAGCTTCCTTCATGGAAGATGTGCCAGTGGGATTGAGAAGGTCTGAGGAGTATTCCTTCCACCTTCCGATGACATCATTGGTTGAGATCAACAGAGCCCCATATTCACAAAACACAGTGTTGGTAAAGTGCAGGTTTCCCAGCCTCCACCATGTGATGTTTTGCCAGAATCTCCTCTGAGCACTATGTTTGTATTGCGAGTGGTTGTCATGGTTTGGAGTCTAAGCAAAGCTGCTACAATCTACACTCCCCATCCGGAAGTGGTGGAGCTGCATGGGGGGTGGGGGATTTGGTAGGTGGGGCACTCGGTTCTGTTGCAAGGGCAGGGCACCTTCCTTGAAAAATGGTAGGGGAAACACTGGTGTTTGTGATGGACTAACCACGACTTGCGCAGAAGTCCAACAACAGATCACCGCTTCGGTTCAGATCAGATAGGTGACCTCTCAATCCCGACCCTCCAGGTCACACTGTTGTTATCCATGTGGGTAGTGAAGTCCCCCAGCAGAATAAAGGAGTCCCCAGCTGTAACACCTTCCAGCACTCCAGCTAAGGACTCCAAGAAGGCAGTTTTTTATGAATTGAAGTTTGGGGAATTATCACAAAACAAAAATCTGAGGTGTCCCTCTACCCAAAAGCACAGGGAAGCTACCTTCTCCTCTACTGGGGAATACTCCAACACACAGGCACCAAGCTGGGGACTAATAGCAAACCCACACCTGCTTAGTGCATCTCACCATGGGCAACTCCAGAGTGGAATAAGGTCCAGTTCCTCTCAAGGAGATTGGCTCTGGAACCCATGCTGTGCATCGAGTTGAGCCCAGCTATATCTAGTCGGTACCTCTCAACCTCACACACAAGCTTGGGCTCTTTCCCCACCAAAGGGGTGAGTTCCATGTCCCAAGAGCCAGCTTTGGTAAATCAAGGTCAGAGCACCAACGCCCCCACCTTTGGCTACTACCCATGGCATCATGCACCAGACCCATATGGCCCTTCTTGTAGGTGGTGGGCCCACAGGAAGGCAAACCCATATTACTCATTTGGGCTGAGCCCAACCGAGCCCTATGGGTAGGCACTAGCTGACAAGTCCCTCTCCAAGGCCTGGCTCCAGAGAGGGGTCCTGGCAACCCACATCTGGGCAAGGGACACTGAGCGCCTTGACTTTGTCTGTCCATATGTCTCTTTGGAATCACTCTTTGTCTGGCCTGTCACCTAGGACCAACCTGCCTTGGCATACCTGACTAGGGACAACTGCCCTCGACAGCATAGCTCCTAAGATGATTGTTCAGGTGCTCAAACTCCTCTACTCCTCTATAAAGGTGGTGATTGAAGAAGGAATATATTCAAAATTGATATTTAGTTATACACGTTTCGCTGCAATTCCAGCTGTAAGTTTTTTTTTGCAATTATCTCTATCATCTTTGCACATTTAGAGACTAAAATTGTTGCCAATCGTTCTTTGCAAAATAGCTGTTGCTCATTTAGATTGCATAGTGCCCGCATGAACACCAATTTTTGAACTAAGAAAAACATCAGCTGTCCTGCAGGAAGGTGAACCCCCACTCCATTTCCAAGTAATTTGCAACTTCTGACAGGTTTTCTTCCAGAATCATCCTGTATTTACCTCCATCCTTCCTTCCATCAACTCTGACCAGCTTCCACTTCCTTGCTAGAAAAAAGAATCCCGACAGAATGATGCTGCCACTATCACGTATGACAGAGCAGATGGTGTGATCAGGGTGATGCCCCAGTGTCACCAACACAATCTTATTGTAATGGACTTTTGACCTGTCCAGGGTGTACCCCACCTCTAGAACAGTGATTGCTGGACCTGGGCACAAGCAACACCGCAACCCATAAAGGAAGAAACAGTTAAAGATAATGGATGGATATTGTTTCCTATTTAAGTAATATTTTATTTTATAAAGCAACCCTGCTTTAAACTTCCCAACAGCTTTATTCCTGGCATATCTGATGCGTTAGTTTGCGGAATGAGAGTAAAGGGAGTTAATTACAAATGCATGCTACAATTTTCAGATTTTCCTTTTTGTTAAAATTTTTTTTTACCACGAATACTTTTTCCTAAAGTGTCACAGTTTAATATGTGTATGCTACTTAGTGTTGGTCTATCACTTAATATATCAGTAAAACACTTTGTTTGGGGTAGCATTGTGACAAAATGTTCCATAGTTTACAGGTATGAATGTTTTTTTCAAGTCACTGTAAATGTTAGTATTTAGTTGAATTAAACTGAAGGCAGTATTTCAACAGTCAAATCAATTGTCTGCTAAAGATTTGAGTTTTGCTGCTTACCCCTCTGGACCTCTCAAACACCTCTCCATTGATGACCCGCAACCTCTCCTGCTGCAGGCTGTACTCCAAGTCTTTGGGCTGGCTGGCATTGTAGATAAAAATGGATAGAAGGACCATGGGGGCCTGCAGGAAAAAGTCCAGTGAAGGGCGGAAGTCGAAGAGGAAGAGGGAGAGGCCGGTAACCAGAACAGTGGTGATCTGACCAGTCAGCACATGGAACATGTTATCTCTGAACTTTAAAATGAAGGCCACAGATAAACCGAGAGCAGCTGAGGGAGAAGAGAAAGAGAGAGAGAGAGGAATGTGAATTCTTTAAATTACTGCAAATCTTTCAGCTCATATACTGTTGCACAACCAAAAAAAACCTGCAAATGTGTTAACTGATTTTTTAACTTTACTGCATTTTCAGTCTACAAAACATAAAAAAAAATAAAAATAAAATAAAATAAATTGTGAAATAGCTGCATCAGGTTTCTATTAATATTACAACTGTATCTGTTGTGAGATATGTTCAGTAACTTTGAGCAAAGGTAAACTATATTTATTTTCACATAATATGCCAAAAAAAAAGTATTTACCCCTTTGAATGTTTTACTTTTAATGCTACCTAGTCACTACAAATTGGTTAATCCCATTTTTGATACACATGCACAAAAATATCTGTCAAAACTAAATCTAATTTCTACAAAGAAATTAAAATGTGTAATGTAAAATAAGTGACTGCATAGATATTCACCACCTCTAAAGTTTTTTTTTCCTTTTCTTTCGGCTGCTCCCTGCGTTAGGGGTCGCCACAGCGAACTAAGTTGCACGAAGACTTGTCAGTTATTTTTACGCCGGATGCCTTTACTGACGCAACCACAGACCACCGAGCTACCACAGCCCTCTGTGTGGAGCAGAGAGCTGCTATCTACGACACCCGGAGGAGCAGATGGTGGGGGTTAAGGGCCTTGCACAAGGGCCCAAAGTAGGACGAATGATGGTGGGTGCAGGTGTGGGTGCTTCACCTACCCCACCCACATTTTTGATGTTACTGGGGCTTGAACCGGCGATCTTCTGATCACAGGCCCACCTTCTCTAACCTCTGCGCCACCACTCCCCCTTATTCACCACCTCTAAAGTGACTGTCCTAATTCAAGTTAGAAAAAACATATTTGAAAAGTAGAAGTCAAGGGATGAATACAAGAGAAAGCCCCAGTTCAGTTATATCCAAAATAAAAAAAAAACGGAAGGATGATGGGATGTATAAATCTATCAAGAGCAAGCCGTCCTCACAAACGGAGTGACAAGAAAGAGAATAACAAGAGGGGTCAAGACAAGTGACCACTTTGAAGCATATACAAGTGTTAGCAGGTGAAATGAAAAAGACTGCATATGTCAACTGTTGCCCAGGTTCTTCACCAGTCTAAGCTTTATGGGAGAGCATCAAAAGATAAAGCCACCGTTGAAGAAAACTCATAAAAATTTGATTAGTTTGCCAAAAAGTACTACACATTCCATGATTAAGTGCTTCGCAGCAGCCAGACCTAGTTGAGAATTAACGCGTTTCAATTAATTCATTGAACTTTTATTTCTACAGGTTAGTCTCATTGAGCCTTGAGGACTCATTTACAAGAGAGACCTGTTTTAACAAAGAACACAGATGAGGTATACACAACACGAGACAATCATATAAAAAGCATATAAAATGAAAAGTAACTAGAAGAAATTATATTAAAAAAATGAAACAAAAACAGCTAGATTATAAAGTGATGTAAAATACTATAAACAGGAACCCGTCTGCATTGGTTTTTGTCATGAACTTAGAAGAAGTTTAAAATCAGAGAGGTCAAAGTCGAGAGCTTCAGATCTTTTTCCAAGGTATTCAAACGTACAGAAGCAGAGTAGGAGAAGGCCCTTTTGCCAAGTTCGAGCCGCACTGAGGGGACACTGCAAGTAATAATATCCTGAGAGTGTACGCTGTAGCTGCACTCATGCAGTGGCATGCAGGATATATGAAGGCAACAGACCAAGAAGTGATTTAAAGATGAAAATGTACCAGTGTGAGAGCCTGCATGAAGTTAATGATGACAAAATCAATGAATCCTAACCAATGATTCCTCTTGTAAATGAGTCCCAGAGGCTCAGGGTGCAGTGAAGGGTACAGCCAGTTATGAAAGCGCACCATGATAGACGGTTCCAACATTTGCAAGGTGTTTGCAGGAGCGTTCATGTAAATAATGTCACCATAGTCAATGGAGGGAAGGAAAGTAGCAGTTACAAGGCGTTTTTTAGCATTCAGAGTTAGACAGAATCTATTTCTGAAAAACAAACCCACTTTTACTTTCAATTTCTTTACCAAGTTTGTAACATGAGACTTAAAAGAGAGATGCAAATCGACAAAGATACCCAAATATTTGTAAGAATCGACAAACTCAATAAGAACACCATACGAAGAAAAAATAGAAGGAAGGACTGCTGGAACAGACTTCCTATTTGAAAACAACATCCCTTTAGTCTTATCAGCATGTAGCACCAGTTTGAGGCGGAACAAATCTGACTGGATGATGTCGAAATGCACACTGTAAAAGCTGGAAAACCTTAGCAACTGATCTAGTTCGACAATAAACAACTGTGTCATCAGCATAGAAACGCATACAATACATTGTAAGAGGTACTGGATCAGGAGTGGATTGGAATTAAAAAGTGGATTGGGAATATCTATTTTGTAAACTTACCAGAATGTGATTTTATATTCTATTGTTGGGAAATGCCATTTGTGCAACTTAGCAGATAGGTCAAGGTTATTTATTAGATAAAATACATCCAACAACAAAAATCTGCTGTTTCAATCATTCTGAAACATTTGTGCCTGCCTGTTATTTATCCACACAGTTTTGATGCAGAATACCTCTATCTACATCTTTGAGAGAAGCAAACATTTTTTACCATGACTCACCAGTGACCAGCACCAGAACCAGGGAATAAACATTGTGTCCATAGAGAAGTCCACAGTGGATAGTGAGGCCCCGTGCCTCACTGCTCAGCCCGAGCGTCAGTCCATTAAACACCACACCAAATGTATATCTACAAAACCACACAACAAAACAGAAAGATTACCACTAAGTCATGAGTGTGTCTTCTGTTTTAGTATTTTGCTAGGAAGCGTATCCTCACAGTTTACTGTTCTGTATAAAGATGCTCTCTGTAAGCTGATCTCCTTCTTTGAGGATCTTCTCATTGTAGATGTTGGCCATGGCAGAGATGAAGCACTGGAGTAGAAGCAGGATGTGACCAACTCCAAAAGACCGAAGCTTCCCCACTATCTCATCCCTCCAGGCCTGACCTGGCAGTGATGATGTCCATGATTCTGAAACACTGCAAAAAAACAAATAAAAATAATATTCTGGCTAAAGAACCAACAAGTAAAGGTTCATTCAGCAATATTCTAAATAAAGTTTTATTGTGTAAAATTATCTTCCAATTGTCCAATTTATCAACTGTTTGATCAAGTAAATAAATATTATGTTCTTCCATCCATCCATCCATCCATCCATCCATCCATCCATCCATCCATCCATTCTCTTCCGCTTATCCGGGTTCGGGTCGCGGGGGTAGCAGCCTAAGTAGGGAGGAACAGACTTCCCTCTCCCCAGCCACTTGGGCCAGCTCCTCCAGGGTAATCGCAAGGCGTTCTCAGGCCAGCCGAGAAAATAGTCCCTCCAGCGTGTCCTGGGTCTTCCTCTGGGTCTCCTCCCGGTGGGACGTGCCTGGAACACCTCATCAGGGAGGCGTCCAAGAGGCATCTTAACCAGATGCCAGAGCCACCTCAACTGGCTCCTCTCGATGTGGAGAAGCAGCGGCTCTACTCTGTGTCCGTCCTGAATGACCAAGCTTCTCACCCCATCTCTAAGGGAGAGCCCAGACACCCTGCGGAGAAAACTCATTTCGGCCGCTTGTATCCGAGATCTCGTTCTTTCGGTCACAACCCAAAGCTCATGACCATAGATGAGGGTAGGAACGTAGATCGACCGGTAAATTGAGAACTTTGCCTTTTGATTCAGCTCTCTCTTCAACACAACAGACCGATACAGCACCCGCTTCACTGCCGACGCTGCACCTATCCACTTATCAATCTCACGCTCCATTTTTCCCTCATTTGTGAACAAGACCCCAAGAAATTAAACTTCTCCTCTTGGGGCAGGATCTCCTCTGACCTGGAGAGGGCACTCTACCCTTTTCTAGCTCAAGACCATGGCCTTGGATTTGGAGGAACTGATCTTCATCCCGGCCGCGTCACACTCGGCTGCAAACCGCTCCAGCGAAGGCTGTAGATCACGACCTGATGAAGCCAATAGGACCACATCATCTGCAAAAAACAGAGAAGCGATCCTAAGGCCACCGAAACAAATCCCCTCAATACCTTGGCTGCGCCTAGAAATTCTGTCCATAAAAGTTATGAACAGAATTGGTGACAAAGGGCAACCTTGGCGGAGTCCAACTATCACTGGGAACGAGCCCGACTTACTGCCGGTAATGCGGACCAAGCTCTTACAAGTCATACAGGGACCTAACAGCCCATATCAAAGGGTCTGATATCCCATACTCCCGGAGGACCGGGCTCCTGGAGGGGCGCGGTCGAACGCCTTCTCCAAGTCCACAAAGCACATGTAAACTGGTTGAGCAAACTCCCATGCACCCTCCAGGACGCTGCTGAGGGTGTAGAGCTGGTCCAGTGTTCCACGACCAGGACGAAAACCGCACTGATCCTCCTGAATCCGAGGTTCGACTATCCGACGGACCCTCCTCTCCAGAACCCCCGAATAGACCTTACCAGGGAGGCTTAAGAGCATGATCCCCCTGTAGTTGGAACACACTCTACGGTCCCCCTTTTGGAATAAGGCGACCACACCCCGGTCTGACAATCCAGGGGAACTTCCCCCGATGTCCACGCAATATTGCTGTCGCGTAAGCCAACACAACCCTACAACATCCAGAGCCTTAAGGAACTCTGGGCGAATCTCATCCACCCCTGAGGCACTGCCACCGAGGAGCTTTTTAACCACCTTGGTGACCTCAGCGCCAGAGATTGGAGGGCCCGACCTAGAGTCCCCAGGCTCCGCTTCCTCAGTGGAAGACGTGCCGGTGGGATTGAGGAGGTCTTCAAAGTATTCTGCCCACTGACCCACGACATCCCGAGTTGAGGTCAGCAGCACACCACCTCCACTATAAATAGCGTTGGTGGCATACCGCTTTCTCTCCTGAGATACAGGATGGTGGACCAGAATCGCCTCGAAGCCGTACGGAAGTCTTTCTCCATGGCCTCTCCGAACTCCTCCCACGCCCGAGTTTTTGCCCGAGGTAACGCTCTCGCTTTGACTTTATTCTGTCTCATGCGTGCTGTGGGTGAGAAGCGTCCAGAGCGTCACCAGCTGAGGAGGTGTCACAGCGACACGGTTCAATCGTGGCTCCCCAAACGACAAGACAGACATATTTGTTCATAACTTTATTATTAGTCAGACAGAGTTGACGGATTTTAGAAACCAGTTGCCGAACGCACCCTGACACAATGAGAATGGTGCAAAAAAAATACCAACCTCTAATCTCTGCCGCAAAATGTTCCCCGGGGTCACATGCGCCCCCCCCCCCCCCCCCAGCATTGCTCCGGGCCCCCCCAGGGAGGTGCGCCCCACTATTTGAGGAGGTGCGCCCCACTATTTGAGAAGGACTGCTGTACTTGAACACATTCCAAAAAAGTTCCACTTTTGTTTTGTTAGTCCACAGGATATTTTATCAAATGTCTTGGGGATTATTATTATGTTTTTGCCAAATCTGAGAGGAGCCTTTTCATTTTTGTTGTGAAGCAGTTATATTGGCTTTGAAACTCAGCCATGGAGGCAATTTTAACCTTTCACCTCTGTCTTACTGTTGAATCATGAACTCTGACGTTAAAGGCAAGTGAGGCCTGCAGTACTTTAGATGTTATTCTTGGTTCTATTGGACCTCCTGAATGAGTCATTGATGCCTCCTCTTGTTCAGTCAGCCACTGCTGGGAAGACTCACCACTGTTCCATGTTTTCTCCATTTGTGGATAATGGAATCCCCATTTAATTCAAATTCAAAAATACTTTATTAATCCCAAAGGGAAATTATTTGTTGTTGTAACTCATTATCCTCATTTCATTAAGAGATGTTATAGATACTGATGGTTGTAGACCAGAAGGATCTCTTGTAAAGGTCCATCCCACAGTGGATCCTAAGAAACTGGCTGCAGATGCCGTTCGATCCGTCTACCCAGACTCGGCTGGCCTCTCGGTTCCCCTGGGCTGTAGGACCACCCTAATGCCGGGCAGAACTCCTCCTAGAGCGATGGCCACTCCTCCCAGCAGTCTGCCGAGCTCCTCGTCGCTGCGGACAGCCAACTGTAGGTGCCGAGGGACAATCCTTTCCTTCTGCTGTCATGAGCGGTGTTTCTATCTAGTTCCAGGATCTCAGTGGTCAGGCACTTGAGCACAGCTGGCAGGTAGATGTGAATCCATCCACAGAACATCCTTTCAACTCATTTGAAATTTGGGGCTGTAGTTGAGATGTAATTTGAGCTTTTGAGATGTTAATCATCTGCTGTTGGTTGTAGAAAACTGCCTTGTTGCCATGGTTACGCATCATAACAAATGTCCAAAACTAAAAAGTTTCAGTAAAAATCCTTCCAGCTGCACAACATCTGATACCAGAGGAAAATATCATCCAAAAAATCTGACTTACATCCAGAAAAAGAGGAATTAAAGTTTCCAAAAGCAAAATCTCAGAATAAAAGTAACAGAGCTGCTCCAACATGCAGCCACCTTGAGCGGTGCAATTCTAGAACAAATATGATAAATTTAGGGGATTTCCCTTTCTGATAGTAGCATTTCTTGCTAATCTGACACATTTAAAAGTGCCAAAAATATTTAAAACGGCAAATACTGCTTTACAGCACTGCATGTTTAATAACATCTAGTTTTCTACATTTTATTTATTTTCTCCTCTATATTCTTAAGTCATCTTTCACACTAGATAAATACACCTTCCATGGCCTTCATGACTTTTTAAAATGTGGTTGGACCACAGAAAATTTGGAAATGCTCCTTCAGTGTCAAGGCAATCATGATGCTGCTACATTATTAGTACTCAAAATAGTTATTTTCAACTCTTACTGTTCCTGCCATTTCCTGCATGACTCAATCAAATAGTTTCAGAATTCATCTACAAGATATGAGATCAATCCACACTAGCACAACTCTATTATCACAGGTATCACACCCGTGCTTGGTCGATTCGGTGAATTTGTCATGATTAGCCGCAATTTCTTAAAAAAAAAAAAAAAGTTACAGAACATTTAATCAGGCTAGCTGGATAAAACGGCCTCCTTCACTAACCTGATTATGATGCTGTATCAACAAGAGAAACCACTAAAACTCCTCTAGCCTCGCCTGTACGTCTGTCATAGGAAAGACTTGAAAGACGTGTTGCTGACATAATGAGAACAAGCATCCGGAAGTTGAATAAAGGACAGCTAACAAGGCAAGACATTTATTGAAGAAGAAAAAGCATAAACTGGTTGTGTTTGGAGAATGTTGGCACAGTGTGACAATGATAGGGCTGTAACTTGGACAAGAAAACAATGAGATCAGTCCTTTCTTCAAATTCTAGATGACTGAGCCATACTTGTGCACACCAGCCCCACACTCCACCTAGGACCATCATACACTGCCATCATAAATAAACCACCACAATTGCAATCTAAATGTGTGTCACAATACCTCATCAAGATCCTACAGACATGAACATCATTTAGTGTGAAGGAGATCTACAAAACAAAACTGACCACACATACATTACCTGCTGTTTTTCATCTGTTCCAGCAGCTGTGTGTAGAGAATGCAGGAGTTGGAGGGGGTGGAGAGGTGTGTTGAGTGGAGACCTGGCACTGCTATGGAAGTCTGACTGCTTCCTGATCCTGTTGTCAAGGAAACAATGGCCAGGAAGAGAATAAATAACGCTGCCCACTGAACCCAAGACAGACGTCTCCTAAAAAGACACAAAAAAAAAGAAAGAAAAGTTATGTAAAGTATTAAGAATTACAATTAGAGTTCCACTGATAGATTAGTGGGGGCGATATTTAGGCCGATATAGGCCTTTGGGGATCTGTCAGTATCAGTGATAATTGTCCCATTATTCGTCGATATAAGCACTTCTAAATTTCACACCTAAAATGTTGGAACCAGCCGTAATTGTACAATGTATCCAGCAGAGGGTGCACGAAGACTACTTTCACTTAGGTTTCAGTTTCAGGGCAGCTGAAGCAGGCAGCAATACTGTGTGAGGTATTTTACTGAACAGAGCATGGTAAGTTAATTTTAACTGATGTATAAATTTTAAAAATCAACAATAAGTCCACTTCCATCCTCCAACCTGCTTGCCATTAGCTATGTGCCTCTCAAATTAGCAAGCTAACGTTTAGATAACTTTATCCAGAACAATTAATCTAATGTAGAGGTAAAATCAGTGTTAGAAACCTTATCTTTGTTGTCCTCAATGAAATGCATTGTTTGTCTGAAATCTTTACTTCTCTACAAAGAAATAAAAAAGCATTGCTGTGGTCAGTACTAATTAGACCTTCACCATATGTGACTGACTGTTAAACAATGAACAGGGAAGGTTGTTTCTTTGTTTAACTTATATTTTATATTAACACTTGATAACTTTATGGTGAATAGTGAAGGATAGAAAATGTGAACATACATTAGGAAGACTGTTTTTATGACCAGTGCACCACCAGTAAAGCTAATCATATCCATGCTATACCTAGACCCACTGTAAGTTTACCTTTACTTCATGGTTGCTAACAGCTGCGCTAAATAAAGAAGCCCCGCTCCACACACTGTTTACTTAAGATTCTTGGGTGTGGACAAAGCTCAAAAATGTTCAGCCATTATATCGGTTATCAGCGGTCCCTTTCCCCTCCCAAAATCAGTATCAGCGATGGCCAAAATTTCCATATCGGTTGGGCTCTAATTACAGTCTTCACAGTAGAATGCTAAAAATAACCAATGTGTGCAATTCAGTAAATCTGTACCACAAAAGGGCCTCAGCAGGAGTATTTGATTCAACTGTACATCAATATGGAACTCAGTATGTCAGCACAAGTGCTGTAGTAATACCTACTGAAGTGTTCTATAATATTTATTTTACTCAAACTGTTAGATATAAGTCTCCAAGAAACTGTCTAAAAATAGTTTTAAAAGTGAGTCGTTTTTCTTAGGTCGCCCAAAATAAGAAAGAAGATGAAAGGCAAACTGTGTATTTTTAAGAAGCAATGCTTTACGATGTTGTGTGATGAGCCACTTACTTCAGGACGATTCTAAAGAGAACAGCTGTGGTCAAGATGACAAAGTTGGAGAACAACACTGCCATTGCCTGAGAACAAGAGAAACAGCAGGATAAAAGATAAAACAGTTAAGTCACTGCAGCATGCACAAAGGCACAAGCACCATGCCTCATAAAATTACATTTAGTAAAAGTTGATATAATAATTAACCTGAAGTAAGTGGCTCATCAC